CTCAGCCGTTGTCGCTTACATAGCGGTTCAGGGGCAATTGAAGTTTGCGGCGTAGAAAATCTAACTTCAAACTCAAACCCATGACGAGAGCATGCGCCAAAACTGCGACTAAGTTTAGGGTTTCTGTCGCTAGTCGATACAAACTTTGTGATGCGAAACCCATATCAAAAAGAGGAACTAGTTCCGATATTGTGCTCATAGAAGACCGCTCGAATCAACAAGCATTAACGGAACGCAGGCTCTGCAATGACCTTTCGCTGGTCAGTTGGACAGCTTGATTACGCAATCCATGATGATATCAACAACACAGTCGCGGTGTTCAGAAACCAACTAGCCGTGTAAACACTGAATTTCTACAGCTGAAAGTTGCGCCGATCACATTTGTGTGCCAATAAACGTGTTAGGATCACTAGAGGAAACGGAACTGCGGTTGAGAATGTGGACAATAAGCTCTTAAGCGACTTACTTGATGGTGTTCATCTTCCTCCTAAAATCAGACCAGGAAAAACATGTTAGCGAAAGCTATTTTTCCATACACAGAGGGCTGAGAGAGTGAGGTGGGTAAGTTTGCCAAACACACACCCAGTGAGTAGGATATCAACGGTGCAAAGAACCCCGTATACACTGTTCTATATGGGGGAATTCGACTCTGTTCTGTTCTACTAAATCGTGCGCATGGGTATGGTGGCTCCGGCCACCAGCGGCTTAGATGAAACTTGAAGGGAGACGAAACAAGAGCAAATTTCTGAAGTGAATGTGACCATCTTATACAGTAGATATAACTAAGCCCCAACGTCACTCAGTTTTACTTTCGCCAGGTCCGATGCAGAAAACACGCCACTAGGAACACCGTGGACCCACATAACCACTATAGAATCCACAATGCATTTTTGTAGAAATGCTGATTCAGAAAACTCGCAGAAGAAATAGTACCGATCCAAAACCATAACCGGTCCAGAGGCGTTTAAGGCGATGACCCCGAGACAACGCAGGGACAGCAACACTACCGGTTCATTACTATTCAACTCAGTCGGCTTGTTTTTAACAGCCTATCACTTAAAGAAAAGGGACGTAGTGCTAGTCTGTCACAAACCTCCACAAGGTGCAGTCAAATAAATTGAACAGATTGGAAAGACGAGTACGGTTTCCAGTTACGAAAGATACAACTTCAACACATGTTAATACTGCCGATTTGGCAAGCAGGAGCTGACCAATGTCAACGGCTTCAGATGCGGTCGCACATGAAGACGCCCTGTCGTGGTCAATCAGGCGCACACAAACTTGTCCACCCAGTAAGATACCAGTTGAGAGAACAGGTAAGAAATGGTCCATTACGGGGAGGGTATTTAATGAGCGTCTCGCAACAAATGAGGTTTAAATGCCAGACCAAAGGTCATCTAGCTTAAGGATAGTAGCCATACATGCCGCGTCTACATACTCCCGTTTATTGCGATCTCAAAAACGCCATCCTGATAGCACCTGTTGCCAAATTCTCAGTAGTAGTCTCCAAATGATTGTACGCGTGGATGTGTCATGTGTCTACGAAGATGATATTCTCGTAGTATGCTTGCGCTGGAATAATTGTAAAGCCCTGCTCCAGATGCAATACCAAAGTGAATGCGAGCTGGACAATACCTAGTCGGGGAGCAGAAATAACTTCCATTCCATCAGCCTCCCTAGGTATCCTATGTCAGGAAATCAAGAATAGAGGCTTAACATGTACATCCTGCACATGAGAACTAAAACAGGAAGTTTCGATCGAACCTGTTGACTGAAACTATCAGATAGAATGAGGTAACGGCTACGCATATTTACGCTCACTCGTAGCAGAAACAAACTGTGGGCACCAACTACACACGACTACGGTAGTCATTTTTAGCCTGGAATCTACACGCACCTAGCGTGAACGACAGGTATTCAAGAAGAGGTGCGGATTACTTGCTCTCAAGAGTTCGCAAACAGATAGAGACAAGTCAACGAAAGCTGCCCCTTTGCCTTCGCGTTCATATAGGGTGTGTTAGAGCAGACTCCATAAAACTTTCTCCCTGGCATTAGATGAACTGCAACTGACGTTGGATGATCCGTTTTTTCATCCATCCCTTCGATTACACGCAACACCACCAGACGCGAATTCGCGCGCGTAGGCAAACAAAACTGCTGCATTCGATCACCTCAATATCCGTTGTATCAAGAGAATATTTTTGACGCACATTTTCCGGGTTCAAATGGTTTTATTCAATAGCCGAAAAACACGCATCGACAAGGAGATAAATCGGCTGCCTCATTAGTTTAGCAGCTAGAACGTGACCAGCGTAGTGAAATTTAAATGAAAAAGGGGTCTTGAGGAAGGCCAACTTTACATGGGAGGACGGAAACAGATCCCCGTCTGAATGTTTTATAAGCTAAGCAAAATAAAGGAAAACCAGCGAGCTAACCGGTTGATGAAGAACAAATAGTGAGTTGAGATTTATCCAGCATGACTAATCCTTTAACTCAAAATGTAACAAGGCTGGAGTGCCTAAAGAGTAACGCCGAAAAACAGTCTATCCCCATCCAGAAAAATTGTGATTTCTGTAATACACCGAACGACGGTGGTATATAGACCAAGCAAGGTACGTTTAGGGGTATATTGCTACCTATCTATTCGATAACAACCCCATCACTGAAACAAACATTTTGTGAAAAAAGCTAAACCACTGTTATCCTAAAAATTGGTTCCAAAGGATTATCGGCATCAATCTAATCATACCTATTTCTGTTGCATAACTGTTTACGAGCGAATAGCTGAGCTTTTCCGGATCTGATTGAAAAGAAGTCAACCTGAACGAATATTCGATAAAATTTGTCACGATACTTTGCAATGTTTTATCGTTTCAAATCGCATGCAAACTATCGATTCATTAAAGAGTAGAGAAAGGAAAAAGCCAGTTGGTTAACTTGACTATAATAACGTTTATCCTTTTGATTAGTGACTGGAAATGCAAAAGGTCCTGTCGAGGAAAATGCCTAGAACACAGGAGGATAGTTCTTTACGGGAAACTAGATTAGTAGACACTTTCAAGCGGCGGCACATCAGTGGAAACAACATCCACTGGGGGTAAAAAGGGTGGGTTACGCACAAATTCGAAAAATAATACAGGAGTACCAGCGTCAAATGTTCAACACAAACCTACCACGGATTCGTCATCATCGTCCTCATCCTCATCTTCGTCTTCATCGTCATCCTCTTCGTCCGACTATGGCAACAGAGGGTAAGCACAGTCAAATCGAACAATTACCTCGTCGGCAATTTCTTCTCCCGTAAAGAATAAAACTGCTTTGGGGATGATTGTGTCCCGGAGGAATTGACCTAGTTTAAAATCACTCTCGAGAAGCATTTGAATATCGTCATCCTAGACAGGGTGAAGATACAGAAGTGAATATCAAAGTCACAGTCCAATTTACCAAATCCTCGGACAACGCTGAAAAGAAGAGATTATCGACAAATAACAAAGGACCTACTCTCTTCAGGAGGTTCAAAAAAGTTGAAGAAAGAATCTTCCTGGACGTTTTTCGTTATGGTCCTTTTTGCGCCACTTCCCTTCTTTTTCTGAACCTTTTTTATTACTTTGACTGTGACATTCTTCCCTGGATTCCAGTTGATGACACAACTATCAAGTAGAAATGAAAGAACACACAGGAATCTACCCTTGATGACACAACTATCAAGTAGAAATGAAAGAACACACAGGATATCTACCCTTTAGCACGAACTATTTCCGGGCCTTCGTAGCTGAAAGGTTCGTCTGCTGAGATTTCGTAGTTGAAGAAATACCGCTTGGTCAAGAATTTGTTGGTGAAATACTCATTGGGAGAAAAGTGGAACTCAAGGGTGAAACCCTTCAGAAAAATTAAACGGAATAGCGTGCCAAACGTACCGGTTCGTCTCGGTGAAGCTTGCACTTGATGTCGCTCAAATGTTGCAGTATGGGAACATCGTGCTCTTGGATAGTCTCATTCAGGAGAGGGACGTTCCTCAAAGTTGTCAGCCAGAAGTCAGGTATGCCTTTCAAATCAGCATCTGAAAAGTTTCGTTCACTAAATAAACCACACTTGATTTACTGTTAGTCTCTGAGGAAACCGCCGCCTTTTTATTGACTTCATCACACAGTTTTTCAACTTCATCCCCCTCACCATCAACAAGCTCCTCGTCCGAGGGCCAGTCGCATTCGTCATCCGCTGGTTCCTTCTCACCGGAGACGATGGTTCGTCGCTAAGAAGCCCATCATTAAGGGAAGCGGATAGCCTACTTGTTCGAAGATACGCTGGTGTTCTAGGTCGTACTTAATTTCTAACTCAAATAGCTCTTTGAAGAAGTTGACATCTATTTTAACGGTTTCATATTGAAGCTTCTTAAGGGCTCGAACACGACGTTTTATTATGGCGGGTAACCTGAACAAGAAAGCGGTCACTTCATTCAAAGGAGTACTTACTTGTGATATTGTTCCAACGGGTCGAGGGACGCTACCGAGTCATCCCCACTCTTCGGAGATACAATACTACAACAAATCATGAGGAAAGCATATAGTGCTGGAAACAAATAGGCCCAACTCCATAGCCTGCTAAATAATGTCCATGAATCTAACCCTAGCACTAGTATTGCGGTCAATTCAAAAGAGCTGTGGTGTTAAATAAGAGTCCCATCTTTGAGGTTCTTAGTGGTCATTCTCGGTAATGTAAGTCTAAAGTCATCATGGTTTGCAGCAATACATCAGTAACTACAAGTCTGACGACAGGCAAACAGTAGCTACTAATTCACCAGAGCATGCAGCACGTGTTGTTTAGTCCGTCTGAAAAGGCGAATATGTCTGCATTTGAGCGACGTCAGCAATCTCGTTCCGCGGCGAACAACATCCCAAACGAACTAAAACTTCTTGAAAGTTCACACTTACAACCTAAGGTGAAAAATGCATGTCAGAGCTGAGCCAGATTGGTAGCCCAGGTGCAAATGCGGATGGCATGAGGCAAAATATATGTGGGTAATCAAAAACGCGTGGCTGAAACTGTTCAGCTGTAGCACCCTTCCGGTGCCTAGCTGCCATGCCATCCGAAGGAAGCACGAGGACTGGGATACGGTCAAGTTGCCCAAGTCTAGACAGGGGAAGTCGAGTGGCGGAGGTCGGATTCGAACCACGGACCTTCCGGTCAGTAAATTAGCGCTCTAACCACTTGGACCATCTCGCCCCGCGTGGCTGACGTGGATGAGTTGAACCAGGATGGTATGAGTAATGCACAAACGGCATCCTAAAACTGAACGTGATGGAGCATTCCGGTTTACTAAGCGAAGGTGGTCTGAAAGTCACATATAGAGCGAGTTAGTCTCACCAGTTTACCACATTGTCAAACGAGGGGCAGCTGACGCTAAAACAATCCTGAAAATGATAGTCACAGGAAATGTCGTTGGCGTTGTAGAAGTTGCCCTAGCATCCGTTATTTGGGACATAACATGAATAAGTCTGGAAACATAAGGGTCAAGATAACGTTAGGTAGCTCAGAACTACATTAAAGTGATGAAAGTCGACTTGAACCAATTCCTTTTTCCGACAAAAGGCTCGCATACTGATGGCGGCGAGATGGACCAAGTGGAGACCAAGTGGTTAGAGCGCGGATTTACTGACCGGAAGGTCCGTGGTTCGAACCCAACCTGTCTCTCGAATTCCCCCGTCTAGGCTTGGGCAACGTGACAGTATCACAGCCCTCGTGCCTCCTTCGTGTGGCATGGCAGCCAGGCACCGAAAGGGTGCTACAGCTGAACGGCTCGCATACTGATGTCTAAATACAATGAAACTAAGCAAGACAAATGAAGTTCATTCAGCTGTAGCGCCTTCCGGTGCCTAACTGCCATGCCACCCGAAGGAAGCACGAGGGCTAGGATACTGCCAGGTTGCCCAAGCCTAGACAGGAGAAGTCGAGTGGCGGAGGTCGGATTCGAACCGCGAACCTTCCGGTCAGTAAATTCGCGCTCTAACCACTTGGGCCATCTCACCCCAAATGAAGGCATGCTGTGATGGAAGGGAAACATGGTGGGAATGGTCTAAACAGGCTTCTGGATTGTGGAAAGCATGGCACACACCCATCCAAATAAGATGGACAGAGCTGCAAGACGACAAGGCCGAGATTCTCGTCAGCGACTTGAAACTAAGTGAATAACGTTTCGAAATTCGATGCCTTAGGACATACATATGCACCATACTCCCACCTGGTCATGAATTTCTCTTGCCACCATCCAGAGCTTGGTACTGATGGCTTTCAATGAAAAAAAAAACAGGAATACCGTCAGATTAATAGGGTCTCTCTCTCTAACAGGATATTTTTGGGCGATATATTAACCTGTTCTACCATCGGCGCTGCCATCACTTGACGTGAACAAGATAGCTAGGCTAGGCAGCAATGCACTCGAAAATGTCGCTCACAAACAAATTCATGATTGTCACGGTCTTCAATGAAATACCAGTTTTCACGTGGACTTGACGCAGCACCTTGTAGAAGTAGATCGCACAGCTCTCCTTATTGCCCCGCTTCGCCTTCTTGTCCTTGGAAACCCTCATATTTTGACGCCTTCACCGCCTAACTGGAAACAACCTTCGGAGCCATGGCGCAGTAGAGCAACGCAGATACCACAGGAGAATGTTCGTTGTGACAACCAGTTAGTCAGTTATATATGCACTGCAGCCAACCTAAACCTCCCCCCTCCCCACAAAAAAGACCCCCAAATCGGGAAGACTTCCGTTCTATCCCACAAGATCATATTTCACAGTGGTATATTTCAAGACCATCCCAACTACGGACAAAAACCACTTCATGTCCCCGGGGTGCAAGTCACTCCGCTAATGAAGCCTGGGTGCAATGTTTTTTAATTTCCCTACATCAAGATACCTAGTATCCACACAACCAATTGCAACACACGCAGGTTTCTTTCCAAAACGCGGTCAAGGATTACATGATTTCCGCCAACGTGGGCCGTAACCATTACAGTGACCCCTCAAAAAACAGGACCCCAACATCTGTGTGGACTGAACACAGCCTTAAACAGCATAGCTACGGAAAAAATCATTCAGCTTCAGCGTTCTTTCGGTTTCTAACTGCCATGCAACCAGGAGGCACGAGGGCAGGAATATTGCCAGGCCGCTCAAACCTAGACAATGGAAGTCGACAGGCCGAGGTCGGGTTCGAACCACGGACTTTCCGGTCAGTAGATTTGCGCTCTAACCACCGAGCCGTCTCGCCCCCATAGATACTGACGTTATAACTCAATGGATAGAATACCCCCAGAAGGGTGAGGTTATCTAAATTGAAATCGCCTACAAATCTGGACCCAAGGCTCCGGTTCAATCCCATCTGGAGTTTTTCCGAACGTTTGTCGTGGTTTTCTCGGACAATGAGTGTTGGTTATAGGGTGTTAATTGTGTCCCAGGTCACAAAATTGGCGCATCATCGTTGAATTGTTATCGAAATTCGACGTCCCCACATTTTGAACCCACAGCCGCCAGAGAATGTTCCTCCCACCACCAGGAGAGACCAACAACTTAGACCAGCTAAGTTGCCAGCCGTGAGATGTCTTTGCTCGGAAGGGTATATATATATATATATATA